AGTAGAAGGAGAGCTCCCCCCCTCGTAGAAGCTCTCCCCTTTGGTAGAAGTAGAGTTCCACCCTTACAAGTTCTTCCTCTCAGTAGAAGTAGAATAAGGCCGGCCACACAGAAAACCTCTCAATTTCCCCCATCCACTGGTGACTCTCCCCTGCTGGCTATTGTATTCTGACAGTGGTGAGTTGCATCCCAACGGCGACCACAGCTGATTGGATGGGAATTTTTGGCCCAGCTAAAAATGTTTAGTGACGGTATAAATCCCGGACTTACATAATTCAGGAAGAGGTAAAGCTCCTTGTGGTCGGACGGATTGATTGTTGCCTCAAACAAGGGGAGGAAAATATTCTCCAACATTTTGCCGAAGTTGGGAAGAATCTTCTTGGTACTGAAGATATCACTGCAAGACACAAAGATATAGGAGGTCACATGTCCAGATCTGTCACAGGTCACACGTCCAGGACCATCACAGGTCACATGTCCAGGACCGTCACAGGTCACATGTCCAGGACCGTCACAGGTCCCATGGCCAGCACCATCACAGGTTCCATGTGCAGAACCGTCACGGGTAGTCAAAAAATCTCACAGGTCACATGTCCAGAACTGTCACAGGTCACATGTCCAGTACCGTCACAGGTCACATGTCCAGGACCGTCACAGGTCACATGTCCAGGACCGTCACAGGTCACATGTCCAGGACCGTCACAGGTTCCATGTCCAGGACCATCACAGGTTCCATGTGCAGAACCGTCACGGGTCACATGTCAAGAACTGTCAAAGGCCACATGTCCAGGACCGTCACAGGTCACATGTCCAGGACCGTCACAGGTCACATGTCCAGGACCGTCACAGGTCACATGTCCAGGACCGTCACAGGTCACATGTCCAAAACCGTCACAGGTTCCATGTCCAGGACCGTCACAGGTTCCATGTCCAGGACCGTCACAGGTCACATGTGCAGGACCGTCACAGGTCACATGTCCAGGACCGTCACAGGTCACATGTCCAGTACCGACACAGGTCAAATGTCCAGGACCGTCACAGGTCACATGTCCAGGACCGTCACAGGTCTCACAGGTCACATGTCCAGGACCGTCACAGGTCTCACAGGTCACATGTCCAGGACCGTCACAGGTCACATGTCCAGGACCTCCACAGGTAACCAGGTAACATGTCCAGGATCATCACAAGCCACATGTCCAGAACCGCCACAGGTTCCATGTGCAGAACCGTCACAGGTCACATGTCCAGAACCATCCCCAGTCACATGTCCAGATCCGTTACAGGTCCCATGTGCAGAACTGCCACAGGCCACATGTCCAGATCGGTTATAGGCGACATGTCCAGAACCGTCACAGGTCATCCTTATTGTGACTGACACACCGATGTGTCATTCCTATACCTGCTGACTGATCCCAGCTTACTGCAGGTACTAGAGAGATGGTGTCATTAGTCTGCTGCAGGCAGGAGGCATTTCCTCAGTCTCCCCTCCCCCAGTGATCAGTCTGCTGCAGGCAGGAAGAAGCATTTCCTCAGTCTCCCCTCCCCCAGTGATCAGTCTGCTGCAGGCAGGAGGCAGAATTTCCTCAGTCTCCACTCCCCCAGTGATCAGTCTGCTGCAGGCAGGAGGCAGAATTTCCTCAGTCTCTCCTCCCCCAGTGATCAGTCACAAGGTGAGAAGGGCTGATCTGTATCAAACATGAACACAGCCAAGAACTGCCCAGGCACCAGGATATACATGATTGTGTCATCCCTGAGCCGGCATCTCAGTTCAGGAAGTAGATGGTGACCCTGGATGATGCCTGAACAAAGATGGCGCTGTCCTTCTGGAGAGAGAAGCAGCTGATGGCATTGTCAGGGGGAGTGCTGTGATCTCTGTGAGAGGTAATACCTGGAAGTGTTACATATTACACACAAATGCAGCTGCTTATGTCATTATCTCTCACACACCAGCAATACATCAGTACAGCAAGCTGTGAGCGACTGCTATAGTTATACTCGGTGGAGTTGTGCGTTGTACGAAAAACGAGACCAGAGCAGCAGCTGCGGGAGTCATGAGAATTCTCACATTTTAGGATTATTTTGTCTTATTGTTTGTGAAGAAATAAATATTTTGTTTCAGAAACTAAAAAAAAGAAATTCAGGAAGAAAATGTCATTTGTGATTATTTAATCGGATATAAAATATCACGTATGGGAATCATCCTCTCCGTACCCAGAGCGATGGATGAGTGCCATGTTTGTACTGGGGCTCCTCCCCTCACCTTCTCCTCCAATCAGAGGAGCGGCACACGCAAAGCCTGCAGATTTACTTACAAGATTCGGGGGACCTGGATGATCCAGCGCATGTTGGGCGAGTACACTTTCTGTTTGATGAACCAGCCGGCCAAGCTGTCCCATTCACCCGGGGAGCGGCCGTAGATGGATAACCGCGGTTCTGTATACTGGTACTTACTGTCCTCCAACTCTCCGCCCACTTCCTGCAGAAAAATAATATGATTGGTTAAATCTGACCTCCGTCCTTCCCTTCAGTCTTCTATCTGACCTCCGTCCTTCCCTTCAATCTTCTATCTGACCTCCGTCCTTCCCTTCAGTCTTCTATCTGACCTCCGTCCTTCCCTTCAGTCTTCTATCTGACCTCCGTCCTTCCCTTCAGCGCCGCGACCCACTGCAGAAGGGCTCGCGACCCACTTTTGGGTCGCGACCCATGAGTTGAGAACCACTGGTTTAACTCATCCGAAATAAAACGAAAATTCTGAAAGATCCGAATAAAGAAACATAGTGACTTTCGGACCCAAAACCCAATAAAGGAAAGAACGAAAAATCCGAAACTAAACAAATTTTTGGCTGGCTGACATGTCTAGTCCGTACCTTGATAATTCGGGCAAAGTACTCCCCCTCTATGTAGTTCTCCGTCTTCAGGTACAAATCTCGCAGCTCGCTGGCTCCCACCGGGTTGTATTTGGCGTTGAACTTGTCAAAGCGATGAAAAGTCTGCCGCCCCTGCAAGCGAGAAACCCAAATTTGTGGTCTTTTTTAAAAAATGACAGCTCGGATTTTAGGACAAAATAAATGGGGCAAAATGTATGAAAAATTATTACTTTTATTACTTTATTATTAATTTTCTTTATTCAGTATTCTTTTTATCTGTTTACATTGTTTTCAGATTTAGGTAGAATAGATTTTTTTAGCAGATAAT